TAGGAGCACCTGGGTGGCTCAGTCGGTTAAGTGTCCAACTCTTGGTTTCAGTTCGGGTCATGATCTCAGGATCGTGAGATTGAGCCCCGTGTCGGGCTCCGTGATGAGCACAGAGTCTAAGTCTCTCTCTCTGTGCCTCTGCTCTGCCCCCTGTCCCCTGCTTGCTCGCTCTCACTAAAATAAATCTTTACATATATATTTTTAATCTTAAAAAAAAAACAAAAAGAAATGCACCACAGGGCAGCCTGAAACTGCCTACGAGCCCTGCGGGGCTCCCTGGCCCAGCCCTACACACACACCTGGGGGGAGGCCTGCAAAGCCAGAGACCCAGCAGGGCCCGAGTGTGGGCTCAGATCTGTCTGAACAGATCATGCTCTTCAAAGGAGCACAGCCGAGCCCGCGTCAAGAACTTACTCCAAAAATATGAGATGTGTGAGCACGCAGGCAGTGCGACCCACACCGGAGAGAAAAGGAAAACACCACTGCGGCTCAAGCCCCACACGGCGCAGATGCTGGGAGCAGAAGAGAATTTTAAAGCAGTTATTACAACATGTTTAAGGGAGTAAAACAAAACAGGAATAAAGTCTCAGCAGTTATGTAGAAAATAGAAAAAAACTGAAATTCTAGAAATAAAAAGCAGGTCAGAAATAATTAGCAATTTAAATCCAGCAATATATAAAATGTGTGGACTCATCTTGACCGAGTGGGGTTCATTCCAAGGATACAGGATTGGCTCAACATTCACAAATTCCCACTAACCAATGTATAAACAGCCCGAAAAAGCGAACTCTCTGACCATCTCAATAGGTACAGAAAAGCATTTGACACAATTCCCATCCATTCACACAGTGAAAACTCAGCAAGCAGGCAGAAGAGGAAACCTCCTCTCCCCGACCAAGGGGGGACGCCTGAGCCGACAGAGGGATGCTGAGCAAGGAGCAAGGAAGGGAGAGCGGCTCTTCAGCAGCACAGGAGGCCTGGCCCGTGCAAGACACACGAAAAACAAATGAAAGCCACCAGATTAGAAAGGGAAAAAAAAAAAAAACACAACGGTCTTTATTCCAGTGAACACGAAAAAGAAATGTTAAGCACCACAGGAACGCAATGAACAAAATTCAGAATGTGGTAAACAACTGACCCAGTTTCTTCAATAAGGAAATTATGAGCGAACAGGGAGGGGAGCTATAGATCCAGAGACAAAGTCCATGAGGCCACAGCACACGGAGCAGAAACACCAACTTGGACAAACCAGCTCTTAACGATGAGAGACCGTTAGAAACCTAAGGCACTGACAGGATTTTTATTGAAGGAATTAGTGGTGGTGTTCGTTTTTTTAAAGCGTGAAGAAGATAACATGGCTATGCCCTTAGGACGACCAAAAGATTTACAAATGAGCTAAGTGGTAAGAACAGGGCTGCTGGTGAGGGCTGAGGCTGAGTGCCGGGATTTGGGGCCTCAACGTCCTTCCCTCCCACTTTCCCATGTGCTCCAAATCGGCCCTATCACAAAACTGTTTAAACTCAAGTAAAAATCGGGGCACCTGGGGGGCTCTGTCGGTTGAGCATCCGATTCTTGATTTCAGTTCAGGTCATGATCTCAGGGTCATGGGATCGAGCTCCAGGTGGGGCTCTGGGCTCAGTAAGGAGTTTGCTTGGGATTCTCTCCCTCTGCGGCTCTCCCCGCCCACCCCGCTCTTGAGTGCTTTCTCTAAAATAAATGACTCTTAAAAAACAAAACAAAAACTTAAAAAAGGGTTTTAAAGTTAGTGAAAATCGAAAATGAAAAAGATGTATAGCAGGCACTACCACTGAGCACAGGTAGAAACATCTGACCCAAAGTGCTTGTCAGAGAGATTAGACACGGATGTGCTCGGCCTTGCACCACAGAGCTCTGACATCTGTCCCTGGTTGGACACATCCTAAAATGAACTGCATAAAAACTCAAGCCTCACCCACTCATTTCATGTTACTAGTAGTATTGTTATTATAATCCCAAAGCTATTTTCTGTGATTATGGGAGTTAGCCAGTAAATATATTTGTGATTAAGGAACCCAGCTTTTCAATGTTAGAAAAACGTAGGGAAAAAACCCCAGCCCTGTAATACTACATTTCAGTTGGAAACTTAAAGTCACATGGATCTCCCAACATAAACACATATATGTGTGTGTATGCTTTTTGAAATAATGAGACTTACAAGAAGTTGCAAAACTCCTGCTCCACGGTCCACGTACCAACACGCAGCCTCTCCCAATGCTTACCCAGCTCTGGTTCATCACCTCAACTAGGACACTGACGTAGGCATGACAGAAGCAATTATGGGCCATACTCAATTTCAGTTCTTACATGGACTCACCAATAAGAAAGAACAGTGATACACAACAGTGATACACAACAACACGGATGAGTCCCAGAAACACGAGGCTGGAAAGAAACCAGACACGGGAACGCATGCTCTGGGACTCCATGTAGCTGGAGGCCAAGCACGAAGGAGACTCATCTACAGTGACAGACACCAGAAAGCGATAAGGAGGATGTGGAAAGGAACACAGCATTTTCTGGTTGATGAAATTGTTCTCCACCTTGTTTTGGGCAACAAGGACATGGATGTGATCAAGTGCCACATTTCATCAAACTGAATGTGTCAACCACAGCTCAATAAAAATAGTTTCAAATGAGCCGATGCTGGTCTTCAAAAAGAAAAGAGGAGGGGAGAGGAAGGCTATTCTTTGTCAGAGGCCATCTGCTAGGAGATGCAGCGGCATGAGAGATGCAGAAAGTAGGCACGCACTCTCCTCCTCCCTCGGGGAAGAACGCGAGACTCCTGGGCGCAGCGGTCACTCAAGAGCCCAGGGACAGCTCGCAGCCCGCACGCCAAGAGCAGAAGCCCGTGTGGACAGTGGAGGGACCCTGGCCACAAAGCACTGTCCTCCCACATGAGGCCACACATGGTCCACTGCCTTGCTAGGAAGGATCCGTGTCCAGACCACTGACCCTGACCACCTGACAGTAATCAAGCTCCCCAGCCTATCTCCCCACTCACGGAGCACACACCAAAGAAAGGAGAACCAGGCAAATGACCTAAACCAGAGCAATCCAGGAGGTCATTCTGTAAGACAACTGGCCCGGACTCCTCCAAAGTCAAGGTCATGAAAGCCTTTTTTAAAGGGGGTACCGTGTAGAGGGACCTGTTGCAGATTTAAGATTACAGACACCTGATTAACCAAATACACGTGTGACCCTTGACTAATCCTGGGGCAGGGGGGCTTGGGACAGCTGTAGAGGGCACTGAGACGACTGGGGGGTGTGGACTGTTTACACACTTACTACTAGTTTTGGGGGGGTGGGGGATCCATCCTGGAACTATTTACAGATAAAGTGTCATAATGTCTGTAATCTAGTTTCAAATGGTTCAGCAAAATGGAAATTCACATTTTTCAAAATGATGAAAGAGAGGAGGACCAGGCAAATGTGAACCGTTCCCAGAGGTGCAGAGCACACGGGTGTCCACTGTCCCATTTCTCCATTTTTTTCAATACTTTTTGTAATAAAAAACAGGGATAGAATTGTTCAGAGTGAAATCTCACACCTGCTCCCTGAGTGCATCCTACCCACGCCCAGTCCCTCCGGCTTGGGCGTCCTTGCTGGAGGCCTCCGCCTGCCCCCGGCCCTTTGTGGGACTCCTCTTCCCACAGGTCCCCATCCCTCCCTCACGTCCTTTCCTCCTTCAGCTTCTGGCCAAAATGTCATTTCTCAGCTTTTTCCTGACTCCCCTATTTAAGTGGCTCTGTCCCTAGAGCATATGACTCTTGATCTTGGGGTCTCGAGTTTAAGCCCCACACTGGGTGTACAGTTTACTTAACAAGAATTAAAAATAAAATAAACAGGGCGCCTGGGTGGCTCAGTCGTTAAGCGTCTGCCTTTGGCTCCAGTCATGATCCCAGGGTCCTGGGATCAAGTCGTGCATCAGGCTCCCTGCTCGGCAGGCAGGAAGCCTGCTTCTCCCTCTCCCACTCCCCCTGCTTGTATTCCCTCTCTCGCTGTGTCTCTTTGTCAAATAAATAAATAAAATCTTTAAAAAAATAAAATGGCAGTTCCCAAAACAACGCTCACCTCTTCACACACACTTTCGTCTCTGCTTTCCAGACCGACAGAGTATTTCTCATCAAGCATTCTACGTTTCACCTACTTCTTTACTGGCGCACATACGCACACTCCCCCCATTAGACTGTCACGAAGAGAGAACAAGCCCTCTACGTTTTGCTCATTTCTGCATTCCCACCACAGACCCTAACACACAGTAGTGCTCAATAGAAAACATTACTGGGTTTTTTGCTTCCCATGTTTCTCATTTGACGACCAAGCCATTCCACTTCAGGGATCCTGCCTTTGGAAACCACGCACACAGCCTAGAAACAGACAATCCATACGGAAGGATGTTCTCCACAGCATTGCTTCTAACGACCAACAAATTTAAACGTAACATCTGACGAGAGAAGGACGCAGCGCCATCCTATGAAAGACTAAGTATCAAGTGAGAAGAGTGAAGGCCAGTGTTCACCACCATGAAGGCACACGGCGAGCAACAGCAGCAAATGAGCAAACCTGTGTAGTCCGTGTTCAAAAAAAGGCAAAAAATACGTTTTAAAAAATAGCGGCAGAAAGCACCAAACCACATTAATGCACGTTTTTCCTTGTACACTTACGCACGTAAAAGCACAAAAGACGTCTGTGGCCAACTATTAACTGAGATCACCTTCACAAAAGGAATTAAAGAGGACTAAAACCGGGGGTAACTATTTAACTCGTACTAGAACGTTCTGGAATACTAACGTTGGTGCACTCAAAACTCTGAAAGGCTGACAAACGAATGCACGAGCCTCCGGGCCCTTTCAGGGCCCTCATCCCAGGATACCCCCGTCCACCCGAGCCGGGAACCCGCGCCGGCTCCCCGCTTCCCTCCCTGGCCGCCCCCATGTGCGCGGCCAGGGTCCCGCACTCACCAGACACGGGTGAAGGATCCCTCTTGGGTTGGAGGCGACTAGTCTGGGGCAGGAACGGGTTGTTGAGCCTGCGAGGAGCGGCAGGGTCAGGGGGAGCCGGGCTCTGGGCTGTCCCTCCGCGCCCCGCCGCGCCCCGCGGGGCCGCTCACCCGAACGCGTTGGGCTCCTCCACCACCTTCATCTTGGCGGCAGCGGCGGGCGCGGGCCCTGCGGGGAACGGGGCGGTGAGGAGGCGGGCGGGTGGCGGCGCACGCCAGAGGCCCCGGGACGCAGGGACACTAACCCGGCGCCGCGAGCCCCAACAGCAGCAGGAAGCCCGCCAGCCTCGCCGCCATCGCTCCCCGCGCGCGCGGTCACGTGGGCGCCGCTGGGCCGGAAGTGGCGCTCGGCGCCTGCGCAGACACGCGCGGCCCGGCCGCTGCCGAGCTGTGAGCCCGTGGAGTCCGAGACCCAGCTGTCAGCCATGGGCCGGAGGAGGACGGCGCGGGGGCTGGGGGCTGAAGGAGGCCGCGCTCGCCACCCCGCGGGCCGCTCCCTGGAGGCCTTCGCGGAGGAGGTGGGCGCCGCGCTGCGCGGTGAGTGGGGCGCGATCGCGGGCCCGGGAATTGGGGGCCGGGGGTTGAGGGTGGCCCCAGAGCTGCGCCTGAGGCTCGGTATCCTTCCGTCCCCGGTGCAGCGTCCGTGGAGCCAGAGGCGGCCGAGGACGAGGGCAGCTCGGGCCCGGCGCGGCTACCCTGCACGCTGGCCATGTGGGAGCTGGGCCACTGCGACCCCCGGCGCTGCACTGGCCGCAAGCTGGCCCGCCTGGGCCTGGTGCGCTGCCTGCGCCTGGGCCACAGGTTCGGCGGCGTCGTGCTCAGCCCCGTGGGCTCCCAGTACGTGTCCCCCGCAGACAGGTAGGAGCGGGGAGGCGGGGGGGCGGGCGGGGTCCCTAACTGGGCTCTGTGCTCTCCCTGAGCCGGGGACCCTGGCGCATCCTTCTTGCAGGGCTCACCTAGGTGTACTGGTCTAGTTTGCCCCGGTTGCGTAGCGCAGGATAAGTCGGTCTCAGTAAACAAGTGAATAAAGGAGTCTGCTGCAGGGACATACACTGTTGGGGGTGCTTGGGGGCCGAGAAATGATGTTGTTGTGTCCCTGGTGAGGTCAGTCTCCAGGGACGTGGCCTCCAGAACCTAGCCCTGCTCTGCTCCTGACAGACAGCTGGTGGCACAGAGTGGGGTCGCTGTCATCGACTGCTCCTGGGCCCGACTGGATGAGACCCCGTTTGGGAGGATGCGCGGGAGCCACTTGCGGCTGCTGCCCCACCTGGTCGCTGCCAACCCCGTCAACTACGGCCGGCCCTGCAAGCTGTCCTGTGTGGAGGCTTTTGCCGCCACCTTCTGCATCCTGGGTGAGCGCTGGCCTGCTGCCAAGTCTGGCTACACTGATAGCTATGGGTTTTCTGCTGGCACCTCCCAGGAGTCATGTGAGGGTGTGTGGGGTGGTCGAGGTGGACAGGCCAGGATTTCAGCCCCACCTCTGTCACCCCTCAGCTTGCCCTCAGAGAATGTGTGGTCCCTGTGGAGGCTCAGGGGGCCCCATGAGACGTGGGGAGAGGGCCTTCACGAATGGCAGAGGAGGGCAGGCAGGCTGTCTGCACCATAGGATGGTGTCTGATGGGGAGTTTCAGGTGTGGGGACAGCGTTGAGGGTGCTGGGAACACACTTGGGATGGGAGAGGTATCATTGACATTCTTGGGTTTCCGGTGTCCTTGCCGTCAGGCTTCTCGGACCTTGCTGTCATTTTGCTGCGGAAGTTCAAGTGGGGCAAGGGCTTCCTAGACCTGAACCGCCAGCTCCTGGACACTTACGCGGCCTGCAGCAGTGCAGAGGAGGTGCTGCAGGCCCAGCAGGAGTTCCTGGCCCATGCCAAGGAGCGCCCCGAGGAGGAGGAAATCGGTGAGGCCTGGCGTGGACACAAGCCCCTGGTTGGGAGCCAGGACCCTCCAGGCATGCCACCTCCTGTTGAGAAGCGGGGCGGGGGGGGCTTCCTACCCCAGCATTTGGGGGGCTTGGTTGTGCTCTGAGCTCATCTGTAGGTCCGTTTCTTGCTTGGTTTCTCTGTTCAGATCCTTTTGACGTGGATTCTGGGCGAGAGTTTGCAAACCCCAACAGGCCAGTGGCTGGCACCCGGTAGGTCCTTGGGCTTCCCAGGGCTCTCCTCTGCCTCTGGCCTCAGCCCCTCCTGCAGATGGCAGGGGTGGGGAGGAGGGGTGGATCCCTCAGCAGCACGAGGGTTTTGTGACTGTGTAAGAGGGAATGTCCCATTGGAGAGGTGTTGGTTTTAAGAACCTGGGGAATAGAATCTGCCCTCAGCTGGGGGCTTTTGTGAGTGAGTGCGCCCGTAGGGAACACACCTGTCCCTTCCAGGCTGCTTGCAGACAGTGGCGACAGTGACAGTGAGGACGAGTCTGAGGAGCGAGGGCCTGGTGCCGAGGACAGAGGAGACAGCAGCAGTAGCTGCTCTGAGGAGGAGCGTCCTCTGGGACAGGGGGCAGAGGCCAGGGCCCCCACAGAGGTTTGGAAAGGAATCAAGAAACGGCAGAGAGACTAAAGGTGGCAGACACATTTACTTTTCATGGCGGAGCAGTAAGGAACTGGAGACGTAGCAGGACTTGTGGGGACACAGACGGGCCTGGCATCCTCAGCCCCCGCAGCACTGAGCAGCACTGGACTCTGTCCCCATGCTGCTGACACAGCTGTGCTCTGGGGCCTTCCAGCCCTCCCAATGAAGCTGCAGGCCAAGGAGACCCCAGTGTGAGCCTCTTTCTTTGCACTTGACCCGGGGATGGGGGGGATGGCATGGGGATGACTCTCAGTCTCCAGTGAGGCAGAGCCTGCCTGGGAAGGGTTTGGACCATGGTGATGCCGGGCGTGAGGCAGGTCTGGCACGGGCAGGTGTGTATGGACACAGAGAATACACTGCACAGCTGCGTGACCGGCACGGAGCTCCTTACACTGACCGATCAACTCTGCGTGATGTCCCCAGCTTCACAGTGACACCCGGGGACCCTCTCCCAGGCCTCAGAGCCAGGTGGGGAGTGAGACCTATGCAGTTCTTAGCAAACCTGTCCATACGCCCTCTGGGTGAAGGGTTCTGGGTGCCCACCTTCCCTTCCACCAGGGCCCCAGGGAGCTGTTTCCCGCCAGCTTGTGTGGTCCGGACTCAAACCTGAGCCTTTCTGCCTCTTGGCCAGCAAGGCTGTGCCACACTCCCCACCCCAGAAGGAGAAGACAGAGCTTCCTCTAAGATGAGCTCTTGGCTGTGGCACTGGTAACATCTGGGAGTGGCCCATCTTTGCTGGGGAGAGCATCCCTGGTCTCACCACTAGTGCCAGCAAGACCTCCCTCAGCCTGTAGTTGTAACCACCAAAAATGTCTCCAGACACGGCCTAACTCTCCCGGGAAGCAAAGCCACCCCACTGAGAACCCTGCTCTCAGACCGGTGCCCGCCTACTGGGGCAGTGGAAGCTGAGGGAGCAGATGGGGAAGCTCACCTGGTGGCCGGGCCTGCTCTGCTCCGCATCCAGGGGGACAGCTGCTGACCAGGCCCCACCGAGTTAGTCCCCCAAACCCAGGATGGGGGGGTGGTGGTGCCTGCTGGATGCAATGGGTTCACAGTACACAGCACACAGGGCCAGGGCAGGGAGGAGGGGCTGGAGGGCCAGCTGCAGCATGCACACCACACGGCGGGGTGAGGGGGGAGCAAGCCCTGGCTGCACAAAGCTGACTGCAGGGCAGGGTGAGGCCAGTGCAGGGACTCGGGGAGGGCCTGGGGCAGGAGGGGCTCAGGGGTCCGCCTCCATGCACTTCTCCAGCTCCTTAAGTCTCTTGACAAACTCCTGCGCCTCCTTGTTGGTACGGCCTTCCAGCATCCTCAGCGCTGACTTCACTGCAGGCAGGCAGGAGAGCAGGAGCCAGCATGAGTCCCGACCGCCATCAGACCCTCCACCCCTGCACCCTCACTCACCCTGGGCTCTGGGCCGGCGCAGGTGCAGGGTCACAGGCTGCCTGGCCCTCGAGCTCCCTCCCACCTGGGGCCGCGCTATGCCACCGATGCTGCCCAGGCCGAGGGCCGCCTCCCCTGCGAAGTCGTTGGTGGACAGCCAGTCGTGGTCCATGACCGTGAAGAGCACGCAGGCGCTGCGGCGGCGGCACGCCTCTGCCGGCACAGAGCTGCAAGCAAGGGGCAGTCGCCTGGAGCTGGTGCCCCACTCGGGCACGGGCGGTCTGGGGGCAGGGCGAGGGGGGACACTCACAAGTAGAAGAGCTCGTCGTACACAGGGTGCAGCGTCCGGCTCTTGACCTGCGTCCTCTGGCTGCGGACCAGTGGGAAAAGGTGTGGTGGGCCCAGCTCCACAATCACAAAGGGGTCGCTCAGGCCTGAGGGGCACAGCCAGGGGGCGCCGTGAGTGCCACCGTCCGCACCCTGCCCGCGCCCTGTCCGCCAGCAGCCCCTCACCGTTGGCATCCAGCGGGGGCAGGTCCGCGGCATGCAGCACCTCCACAGCCAACCTCTGCTGTGCCGCCTCGTAGTGGCAGCGGACACTCAGGCGCCCGGACCGCTTCTGCTCCAGACACCTCTGCGCAAGGGCGCAAGGGCGCAAGGGCTCAGGCTGCTGACCAGGGCTCGGGGGCCTCGCGGCGGGGGGAGGCCGAGCGCGCCCCCAGGCCCCGCTACCTGCTTGAGCTTGTCCAGGTAGTACTGCTCAATGCACTCGCGGGTGGAGCACTGGTGCAAACGGAGCTCCTCCTCCAGTCTCTGTGGGGGCACAGGGGTGCTGAGCGCGGGCTCTGTGCATGCTCCCCTCCCCCGCGTCAGAGGCCCTCACCTTGTAGCTTCCGTCCCTCAGGCTCTCCAGGGGCAGACCCTGACCCTCCGCATGGAAAAAGTTCACCAGGGCCTGGGGCAGGGCAAGAAGGCAGAGCCAGCTGAGGCCAGCAGGCTGAGACGGGTGGAACCAGAGCCACTTCTCACACCCAGCACCCCCCCTACCCCCCAGCTCAGAAGCCAGCCCCCCCGCCTCCCCCTGGCCAGCGGGGGGGGGGAGGGGGGAATGCCAACGCCTGGGGCGGCCAGGTGCTGCTGACACAGGTGGGCTGGCAGGCAGGAGCCATTCGGACCAGGAAGGCCAGGCCACCCAGCAGAGGGGCAAAGGGGTGCTCAGCAGCCTTGGGGCCCGGGGACCGCCAGGAAAGGCCCAGGTGCCCCGGCAGGGATGGCTCCTCCATGCGGCCCTACCTCCAGCGTGAAGTGGAAGCGGCCGTAGAAATCCGCGGAGACATCGAGGTTTGCACCGAGGGCCTGCAGGATGGCCTGCAGGAGCAGCTCCCAGAGGGCCTCCAGCACCCTGCAGGGACACTCCGCGTCAGTGGCTGCACTGCAGGCCTCACGCTGCTCACCGCCCCCGCCCCCCCCGAACCCTACCTGCTCAGGTTCTCCTTCACCAGCGACGCATTCAGCAGGGCCAGCTTCTCGTCCAGGTACTTCATGAGTGGGGCCACAGCCTGCGGGCAGCACCCTCAGCGCCAGACAGCCCCTGGGCCCCACCCCATACACCCTCAGCCGGCCATGCACTCACTTCGTCGTTCTGGATGGAGTCCGGCGACAGGCTGATGTGCTGTACGTACTTCCTGATGTCGGCCACCATCTGTGGGACGGCAGCACTCAGCACCAAGCAGCAGTGCACGGGGCAGCCAGCTCCCCAGCCTGCCCGCCCACCCACCTTGGAGGTCAGGTGCGCCGTCACGGTGTGGACCTCCTGCTGCAGGTCTTCGTCCAGGGCCTGCGCACAGCTGAGCAGAGGCCGTGGGAGCACCCCCTCCAGCGCCGAGGTCGCCTCCGGCCATGCCAGACCCCGCAGCGACTGCCCAGCAGCCTTGCGGAGGAGCTCCACGTTGTTGAGGACCACACAGAGCTGGGGAGGCGTGCCAGACGTGGGTGGTGCGCGGGCAGCCCCATGCTGGCCCCACCGGCCCTCCGCCCCCTGCCTGCCCACCAGCCTGCTCACTGGTTCGCTCACTGCCTCGCCTGCAGTCCCAGGCTGAGCGTCCACCTTCTTTCGCAACAGCTCAGTATAGAAGAGGGTGGCCTCGCACAGGTCCTAGGGTGGGACACAAGGGCTCAGAGCTGTGGGCTGCGGCCCTGGTCCTGCTCCCCTCCCAGACCTTGCTCTGCAACCCACAGCCACACACCTGGCTGAGCTGGGTGCCCAGCACCTGGGCCTGGGCAGGGTCTGGCCACGCCAGGCGGGCCCACAGTTCCTGGATGAGACTGAAGCAGAGACTAGCAGTGGTCGCGGAGCTGCTGTGCTTGCAGGAGGCATCCATGGGCTCCAACTAAGAGGGCGGGAGGAGGCCTGGGTTGCAGGGTGGCCCTGGCTGAGCCCAGCAGCTTCAGGCCTGGGTGCTTACTCACTGTGTCCACATCCACGGCTCCCTGAAGTCTCCACCTGGCCTGGTCCCGCAGCACCTGCAGCCAGAGCTTCACGGCGGGCAGGAAGGGGGCATGGATGCCGGCCAGAGCAAGGGAGCGGCTCTCACTGCAACAGGAGGCCCGTCAGAGCCCGCCCTGACTCAAACACCTTTGGCCCGCACATCTCAGCTTCCCTCCTTCAAAGGGTCCTTGGGATCCTGTCCCACAGGCCTCCTAGAGGAGGCAGGAGGACAGCTGGGGTGGGGGGACCGGGAGGGGTGGGTACAGGCCTGGGAGACCCATAGTGGACGGAGACAGATGGGGGCATGGAGGGAAAGGGACAGGCTGGGGCAGGGCACCCACCGGCCGGGGATGCTGCTCCAGAAGCTCTGGATGTCAGCCAGGGTCAGGTACAGCTCGAAGAGCCCCGAGGCCACCTCGAGGGTCATCTTGGGGCTCAGCTCCTCCGTCAGCACCCATGCCTCCTCGGCCACCTGCTTAGGATGGCGGAGTCAGGCCGCCAGCAACAAGGAAACCGAGGCACCTTCCCAGCCGGCGGGGCGTTTCTCCCCACTCCCCCTCCTCACCAGACGCTCCAGCTGCCGGAAAGTGAGGGTGAAGAAGTCGATCTCGACGATGCTGCAAGAACAAATTCCACACACCTGCTTGCCCCACGCCCGGCCTGGAGGCAACATGAGGGGCTGGGGGCAGGGACCCCACCTGTGGAAGAGGCTAGCGTAGATGCCATAGCAGGACTGCAGGTCCTCGTAGACGGCGTCAGCCAGCTCCACCAGCCCGGCAAGGCGCATCGGCCCCGGCTGCGAGGAAGCCCGGTTCGCAATGACCTTCTGGCCTGCACCTCCTGGCCGACCCCTTCCCTCTCCCCCCCTCCCCTGCGGCCAGGCCCTCCCCGAGCGGCACCTGCTCGCGAGGACTCTTGGTGTTCAGGAGCCTGTCGTACCACTCACGGTTGCCTCTCTGCAAGACAAGTCATCGAGACAGTGTGGTGAATAGAGAAGGCTAAAAGGGCAGCAGAGAGTGGCTGAGCAGGCCGGGCCGGGGGCCAGGGCGGGGCAGGGCAGGCAGCTGGGGCTGGACACACCTTCAGAGCCGCGGCGATGTCCATGTTCAGCTCCGTCTCGAAGGGGCAGATCTCGAAGGATGGCTGGAAGAGCTGCATCTTGCTGAGACACCTGGACAGGGACCGCCCACTGACTGTGGGCTGCCCCGTCCTGGCCCTAGCCCACCCCAAGCACCGGCGGCTGCACCCACTTCAGCAGCAGCTCCAGGCGGTGGACGGCTGTGCTGTTGGTGGCTGGGAAGTAGTCTCGGAGCTGACGTAGCAGCTGCAGCCCAAACTCCGAGAAGGCACAGAAGCTGTCAGCTAGGCTCTCCTCCTGAGGACACAGGGCCCATCAGAGCTGGCCCTCACTGCCCGCCCCACAGGGTGGGGGCGGGGGCAGCCTGTCTGCAAGGGCCTCCAGCAGCCACCCACTGGCCTGGCCCTGCTTTCTCCCGCAGCCTCAGGGCCTTTGCACCACCAGTCCCCCCTACCCAGCAGCCAGTGCCCACTCCCTCTGTCCCCAGCCAAGGGACGGGCACGACCTCCCTCTCCTGGGTCCAACCCATCCCCTATCTCAGCACTGCCCAGTCTTGCTCTGCCCTGGGTCATGAGGTTTGTTTTCAAGCCCAGGGCACCCTACAGGCCGTGCGCCCCATGAGGGTGGGCCTCCGTCCAGCGTGCCAGCAGCCCACGGCACACCCTCCAGGAACAGCACTTTGAGCCGACAAGAGCGCGCTCACCTGCTCTTGGGGCAGGGAGGATGCCTCCTCCCAGTGGACCTGCATGTCCTCCAGCAGCCCCAGCAGGTAGCCATAGTCCAGGGTGCAGGTCTGATGGTGGCGGCTGCTGACCTGCCAGTGCCTGGGGAGTCAGCCCCGCCATGGTCACGGCGGAGTCAGGGCTGCGACCCCCAGGAGACCCCTTGTGCCCCTCCTCCTTGCCCCTTCCCGTCCCACAATCCCCTCACGGCACCGCCCCGTTTCATTCCTTCCCACTCAAAGCACTCCTTCCCGCGCCTGCCCCGCCCACATGTGGCCCCGCCCACCACAGGCCACGCTCTTTCCCACCCCATGACACTCCCCTCGCAGCACGACCTCTCCAGCTCCAACGCTCTCAGCTGCTGCCACTCACAGCGCCCCTTCCCAAGCCCCTCCTCACCCCAGCGCCCGCCTGCCTCTTCCATGACCACGCCCACTTTCCGTCCCATCTCCACAGCCCTGCCCCTTCCCGGGGCCCGCCCCTCTTAGCCGCCCATTCCCTCTCATAACCCCGCCCCTCGTTCGCCCCGCCCCTAGAGGCCCCGTCCCTGGCACGGGCAGCCCCTCCCACCCACGGCTCGCCTTCCCGCACCCCGCCCCTCCCGCGGCCCCGCTCACAGCACAGCCAACTGCAGCGCAGACAGGTTGCTCTGCGCGCCGTGTAGGCAGAGCACGGTGGCCGCGGGCCCGCTGAGCTCTCCGCGCCAGCCGCTCGAGTTGGGCTGGAGGGGATGGGCAGGCGTGAATGAAGGAAGGAGACGCCAGCCCCTCCTGACCCCGGTGCCCAGCCTCCCCTGCTGTCCCTCCCCGGCCCCGAGGGCGCGGCTACCTCCTGGGATCGGTGCTCGAACTGCAGCAGACGGCTGAGCAGCAGCATGTAGGACAGGAAACCCGACCGTCCGCGCTGGCTCATGCCCGTGTCCCTCTGGAATGCAGGGCCCGCCCATCACCAGCCCTGCCCCAGCCGGAGGGCAGGGGTGTAGGGCCGGAACGCAGGGCAAGGACCTCACAGCCCCCCACCTGTGTGGTGATCAGCTTGAGGACCAGCTGGCAGTCTCCTTGCACTCGGGAGGCACTGGAACGCGGTTCCAGCTTGAACCAGCGGTCTTCACCCGCCACGGGCACCTCCTAAGGGAAGGGGGTTCAGACTGGCAATATCTCCTCCTGCTCCCTCCCACAGACCTCTGTTTCCCACTGAACACAGGCCATCGGCACAGGGTGAGCACTCAGGGGTGCCTGGACACCAGAGGCCCCAGGAGACTGTTCCCCCCCCTCCCCTGCAGCACAGTGCCCCCACGCAGCCCAAGAAGGATGGGAGCAGCTGGGGGAATCACAGGACATAGCCACCAGCAGTGTCCCCGGAGGGTGAGATACCACAAACGTGCTCTGGGAATGAGGCCCTGGACCCCACTCACCCGGATGGGTATGTTGAGACACCCCAGGAAATCATCGGTGTGGTCCTCCGTGGGCCCTGCTGTCCCATTCGCACGGGCCGACTTGACAATCTGTTTGAAATACCTGGGCAAAGCAGGGTGGGCTCCCACCTGGGGTCCCTGGGGAGCCCCACCTGCTGGCCCATGTCTGGGGGGCACCCAGGTCCCACCTGTCATACCTGCTCATGCCCTTCAGGCCGATGACTTCATTCAGCTTCCTACATGCTTCCACCAGAGACACATCATCATCATGGTCCCTAGGGGTGGGGAAAGAGGGCAAACCTCATCTGGCTGGGGCCTGGCTGGGCCCTGAATGTCCCCTCCCACCGCTGCACCCCCCCAGACCAGGTGCACCCACACCCCCTGCCCTGCAGGGCCCAGGGGCCTATACCAGATGTCCAGGTGCAGCTGGTCGGTGCTGACATCCTCAATCTCACTATAAGGAAAACAGAGAGATGGCCAGAGGGTGCAGGACGATCCTCTGCCCAGGGCTAGGGGAGGGACAATTTCCGGGAGCTGCAGGAAGGTATCCATGAGCTCCAGCTTGTAAGACAGGCTGCCTGGATTTGAATCCTGACTGTGTGGCACCTCACTCCGAGGTGATGATGTCCTCTGGAAGGTGGTCCTATGACCAGCCCCGCTCCGTTCTGAGATGGCACGCATCCTGGCATAGCAGGCAGCCCCCCTCCCCCACCACCCTGCCGCCTGGCTGGAAGAGGGGCCTTACAAGAGGAAGTTTTCCTTCCAGACAGGGTTCAGGGTGCTGCTCTTGACCTCGGTGACCTGGATGCACTTGGCTGGCAGTGGGCCTCCACGCTTGCTGCCTTTGCGGAAGCTGAAACGCTGCTCCTTGTGCGGGCCCGGCTCCCGTGGGGCGCCCGAGGCTGGCAGGATGCCCAGCATGCAGTATGGGTCGCTGAAGCCTGAGACACCGTGGGCGGCTTAGTCCCCGGTCCCAGGCCCCCCAACCCCGTCCCTCCACGGTCCCTCCACAGCCACCAGGACTGGGCGCAGCCAAACTCCTGGCTGGTCCCCACTCACCATTGGGGTCTTTGGCCATCAGGTTCTTCGCACGCATGACAGAGACTTTCAGGGCATACGTGGGGGCCTGTGGGCCAAAGGTGCCGAGGAGCCTCTTGAGGGAGGCTCCGTGTGGCCAGGACAGGGCCCTGCTCTGTGTCCTCTCCACCCCTGAGCCCTAGCACTGTGGCCGGGCAGCGTCTGCCCAGACCAGGTGGCAGCCTCACCTTGGCCTTCTTCACACGCTCAATGGCCTCGGCGTGCTCCTCGGGGCTGGTACCAAACACCTGTACAGGGTGGGCAGGTGTGAGGGCCCAGGGACCCCCAAAGCAGGGCTGGCCAGTGTCCCGGGGGCCTCACGGAGCAGATGAAACACACCCAGGGGAGGAGAAAAGATGTATTTGTCTATCCATCCATCCTGTGTGTCTGTCCCTCTGTCAGTGTGTCCTTTCTACCCTTCTCTGTGTGTCTGTGTGTTTTTCTATCACTCCATCCTTCCGGGCAGGCCGATCAGCCTATATGTGTGTCTGCCTGTGCACACATGTGTGTGTGTGGGGGTGTGTTCTGTATGTGGGGCAAGCCTGGGTTATTTGGGTGATGGTGACATCACCAGGCAGACAGGGTTGGGAGAGACAGTGGTCTCTGTTTTCCCCAGAGCAGGGTGGGGCCAGGCCAGCAGGGAGGGCGGAGCCAGTGGGACTCACCTGCTGCAGGTAGCCCAGTAGGGTCTCCTGGTCATCCACCTGGTCAGGGCCCATGGTCCCTGCACGGTAAAGGACTGTGTACAGGGCTTCCTCATAGAGCATCTCCACCTGTGGTCAGGGAGCAGGGCGTGCCCTGAGTCCCAGCCACCCCACCCCTGTCCACCTCAGACCCGGGCCTAGAGCCCTGGCCACTGGGGCGGTCCAGGCACTTTGGTTCCCCACTCCACCCCCCACATCCCAGCCCGCAGGAGCTCCACCCACTGGCAGAGTCTGGTCCCAGCATCGGTACCTTTGCATCAGTTGGGCCCTCCATTGGTCTGAACCCCGACTCCTCCTTACTGGCTTCCACGGGAAGTCCTGGCCCTCACCCCTGCCACCTTTGCTGTCCACCTGTCCCCAGAACCTGGGCCTGGCACACAGGAAGTGCTCCCAGACTCTCCCTGGGGCCAGAACCCCATCCCCCTTACCTCCTCCTGGGTTAGGGCTCTCAGGCCACGGTTGGGGTCCACAGGCTCGGCAGGGGCTGGTGAACCACTGCGCAAGAGGACCTGTGAGGGGCACTCGGATGAGGGCCTCCTGTGGGGACACTCCAGGGTGGGAGGGGGCTGAGCTTGAGGGGTGGGGGCCTGCTGTAGAGGGGGCTGGGGGAAGGCCCAGCATGGTGCCCCCACACTGGGCAGCAGCTCCGAGCTGTCCTCACCTCGGGGCACGGCAGGCCCTGTCTGCCTTCCCCCTTCTTCAGGATGAGGCGCATCTGCGCAAAGAACTCCACACCGTCCCCAGGCTTCCTGCAGAGAAAGGCCAGGCTGAGGGTCAGCGAACCCTCCCTGAAGCTCAGGGCTCACAGCACGCACCTGTCCCCTGCCCAGGGCCAGCCACCAGGCCCTACAATTTGAGGGGACTGCCTGGGTCTCCACATGATCGAGGGCCCAGTCTCATGTCCACAGTGTGGCCCCCCCCACCCTCCGGCCTTGGTACCACTCCCCCGGGCCTCCCCAAGAGGTCGTGCTGGGGCAGTGGGAGAAAGTGGGGCAAGAGGAGGGCGGCCAGGTGCACGTGACTGTGCGGGATCAGGCGTGGGGCACCCACCAAGCCCCTGCGGCGGGCTCCTGTGGGTCAGCACTGGCGCTCCCAGGCTCTCCCTCGGTCCTCCGGCGGAAGGATGGGCGCGCCTGCACTTGCCTCAGCACACTGCTCTTGATCTCCAGCAAGGTCGTCATGGTGGGTGATCTGGGGGAGAGAGCCTCTGGATGTCCATCGGCCAGCAGCTCTGCCGTGCTGGCCCCAGGAATCACATCAGGTGCACATCCAGCAATGATTGAATCAGCCAGACACCAACAGGGGCTGCGTTCCTGGCGGCCGGCACAGGTAGCGGTGGGGCAGGAGGGGGCACCTGAGCCTCCCTGGAGCTCAGCCCCCCTGCTGGACTGCACTGGGTACCCAGGGGGCCAGTCTCTTGGTCTCTCTAAGTCTTCATGGCTCATCTGCAAAATGGGGCATCCCTGCTGGGTCGATCTGGGGATGGGATGGGGCCGTGAGAGGTGATGGTGGTGCCCAGCACAGTCCGCGCTCCGTTGCTGGGAACTGCTGGAGTCCACCACATAGGGGGGCCCGTTCTGCCATACCCCCACCTGCCACCCATCCAGGGCTGGGTCCCCTGGCTGTGTCCCTGGGATCCGAGGACAGCTCAGCAGCAAGGACCGGTGTCTCTTGGGGGCTCTGCTAAGGGGACAGAGTTGTGGGGGAGGGGTGCCCAGGTCAGCCAGCTTGGAAGGTCCAGTCTGGGGCCAGGGCCGACAAAGCTCCTGCAGGAGGCCAAACCCTCCTCGGGACCCCCAGCCTCCTTGTCCTGAGGAGCTTGGGCCAGAAAGGGCCAGTGGGGCTGACTCCAAGGGGCCAGCATGTGCAGGAGGGGCCACTGGGGGTCCTGGCCCACCAAGCAGGGCCAGGGCAATGCCCCATCCTCACTCCCTGGGCCACCCTGCAGACAAGAGCCTGCTACCTGTAGTCAGTAGAAATGAAACTGTGGAACACGTCCTGCCCCTCCTCAGAAGTTTGGGGTGTGGGGCCACCACTCCCTGTCCCTCTCCCATCTGGGAAGAGCCCCACGTTGTCTGGGTTGCAGCAGCCCAGATGTCACGGCTGGGACAAGGAGGGGCCCCATGGCACGGACTAGAGCCTGGGCCAAGGGGCCCTTGTCGGTGCACCTCCTGAAGCCAACTCAGGCCTGGTCGCTCTGCTCTGTGCAGACAGAGCCTAGGGCGGGGGGTGGGGGACAGGCTTGGACAGCAAGCCTGCAGCCCTGCAAGGGGCTGAGCCGGGGCCCTCAGAAGTGAGCATCTCCGAATCATGGGGGACACCTTGCTGGTCCCTGCCAGCGACCGTCACACCGGCTCGTATCCTCCAGGGGATCCAGGGTCCCCTGCACACCTGGGAGGAGGGTGGGGGGGACCATAAAGCTGCCACAGGCCCCCACCTCTCCCCTGGGCCAGGCAACAACCTGTGCCTCCCCCAAAACCCCAGGGTAGTCTCCTTGCACCCCTGTTGAAAACCACCAAAGTGCCGACCCCCGGGCCGGGCTGAATCCTCCACTCGGTGCCCACCCCTTGGGCTCCCTGCCCTGGGCTTGCTAGCCTCTCGTGTAGAGCATGCATCATGCTCCCCTCAGTGCACCACAGGGCCTTTGGACTCGCTGCCCTGGTCCTTTTCTTGGCAGAGCTCACTCGTCCACTCACTGAGGGGACCTCTAGGACCCGTGCGGAGGAACACCATGATTTCATTGACAAAATAGGAAGTGGGAACTCAGCTGGGTACAACTATTCTTGCCCCAGGGCGGTTAGCGGTGAGAGAGCCCGGAGAGCCCCACCCCTGCCCTGTGTGCCCAGGCCAGCATCCCAGGGATCATGCCCCCATCCCTGCGAGTCTCTAGTGAAAATCTGCTACCTCCTTCTCAGCATCTTATGCCCTGTTGGGAGAGCTGGAGCCAGGGCATGCCGGGCACCTCCCGAGTCCTAAATAGATTCCGTCAAACACACCAGATCCCCGCCCCCTGCTGGGTCGGTCTGTCTCTCCGTGGCCCCAGGGCTGCCATCCCTGCTCTGTACACCCTGACTGGCTCAGGCCACCCCTGCAGACAGCACCCTAGCCTGCTCCCTGATGGAGCCCCGGGGAGTGCTGGGCTCAGAGGGTCTCATCTGACCAGCTTGAGAGCTGGGGACAGAAAGGGCAGCTGGCTGACGCCCTGAAATGAGGCCCCGCCTTCCTCACATTGACCACTGCCTGCCCCTGGGAGCCCCCCTGCAAAGATGGGGGGATATGAGGAGGGGGGCGCAGCGGCATGGGCATGCAGTCCTACAAGCTGTCGCCCCTGTCGTCAGCAGTGAGGTCCCGAGGCAGCCGGGCACCAGGACCCCCCTTCCCCTCTCTAGCTGTGGGGAAGAGGCTGCTACCCCCACAGCCCCCCAAAGCCAGGGAAAGAGCCACTGCTTTAGCTGTTGCCAGGGCAACCACCAATTGCGTCTGCCGAGTGACAGGGGCTACAGGGGCTCACGGTCCCAGAGACAAACATGACGCAGGAGCCAAGTGGCTGCAGAGACAGGGTGCCTCTGTGAGAATAAAACGCTCAAGACAGAGGGGGAGCCACCTCGCCCCATAATCTCAGCCCCGGAAAGGGGGTACTGCTCTGCTCCTCCCATCTACCTGGAGAAACTGAGGCCCCGGGCTTAGGAGCTTACTCAAGGCCACAGAGCCAGCAAGTGGCCAGGGATGGAGCCCACCTCTGACTCTGGTGTCCAAGCTCTAAGCTCCTGGCACGTCCTGAGTTCTGGGGTCCAGGTAGGCTGGCCTCCCCCTCTGCGGCACTCCCTCCCTCAGCCCCTTGACTGGGCTGGGGCAAAAGCGACATCTGGGCACAGGTATCTGGGAAAGATGGCTCCTCCTTGGGTTCCCAGACACTCCTCTGGTTTCCTTGGAAACCCCCCACTGCTCGAGTACTGATATTGCTGCTCTCCATGGCCTGGGGGTCCTGGGAGCCAGCCAGCACCTCGCCCAGAGCCGCGCCCGCAGTGTGTGCGCAGCTGACCCCCAGGAAGCTTTTGTGGGCCACAGGGACCCTCCGTCTGTCTACCAGGCCCCCAACAGAACTCCTCCCTGAGCTCTCTATGTGTCTGTCCCCCCTGAGCCTGGGCAGCAGCACAGAACAAGATGTGCCCGCATCCTTGCTCACGCCTGGCCACCAGGGCCGGGATCCCAGCTCCCGTTTGTCCAAGGGGCGAGGTGAGGGTGGCCGAGGAGCTGAATGCCACACTGGCACTGGGACCAAGCCAACATTAACAGGCCTACCTTGTCCCCTGGCTGTCCCCAAGGCCCAGGTTAAAAGAGAAGAGGCAATCCTGCAAAGTGGGTATCACTGTCCCACTTCACACCCCGGTGCTGGGGTGACCTGTCTGGAGCCAGGACTCAAACCGAGGGCTCTAAGCCACACTGTCTCCTGCTAGCCCACCTGGGAGCTTAGGTGGCACCAAAGCAGATGGGTCTGGGGGCAGCTGAGCTGTGCCAGAGCCAGATCTGTCTCCCTCGCCAGTGTCCCCTGTGGCCTGCTGGTCACCCGCACAGTGAATGGAATCCTTTATGATAAACATCTCAGAGCACTAGGTCCCTTCTTATCAAGAGTTGGTCCCTGGAGACTTGGGGGCAGGGGTCCCCTGCAGCTACCCAGGGTGTAGGGGGAGTGACAGGATCTCTGGTCCCACATGCTGGTCTCCTTGTCACCCTGGTGGTCTTGTCTTCCCAGTACCCCTCCCACACCCCCCTTCACTTTTCCTATTGGATTTCCGGCTGTCATGTCCGGGCGGCTCCCCAGCCAGTGCTCCCAGTACGCAGCAGAGCAGTGACCCCAGGGCCCATTACAAATGAGGCTCCCTGAGAGCCCGGGGGGAAGGGCCTGGGAACGTGCATTGTAAGCAGCTCTAGAGCCGGACCTAAAGCCCTATGACGCGTGGGATCAACTGTAAAGGGCTACCCAGATACTTCTAGAATGAACGCATGAAAAATGAAACCCCTCCATTCGATCTTCCTCCGAGGCTCCCTCCCCCGGGCCTGTACTTACCTGTCTCCACCGCCGTGTTCCGCCCACTTCGCTCACCGACATCCCTTCTCGCCGCTCCCTCCCCTCCCCGCCCCTCCCTCTCGATGCTCCCCTCAGAAGCCTCGGACCCCCCCACCGAGTTCCGTCGAGGCTTTTCCCTCCCTGATGAGCAGGGCGTCCTCGGGCGGCTTAGAAGCCTGGTGAGTGCGCATTGTTTTATACCGTTCCGGCCCCTGGAGGGATTTCGTGGAGACGAGGGGTCCTCAGACAACTGGCGGCAGGGAGGGAGGGACGGGGCGCCGGGGGCATCTGCGTGTTGCCCGGAGGCCCCGCGGAGTGTCTCCGAGGTCCCCGGAGGCCACAGGTCGGTGGGGGCACCGGGGTCGGAGGGGAGTCCTACTGCACCCCCACATCCCCGCCGGCTCCGGCGCCCCCGGGGACGCGGGCCGAGAGAAGTGCCCGCGATCCGTCCCTCCGAGCACGCGCCGGCCTCAGTTTCCCCGGAGCCGGGGGCGCGCCTTCCCCACTTCCCGCCGCCCTCCTCTCCCCGCGCCCCTCGGGGTCCGCAAACGCAGGAGCCGGACCGGGCGCTCGGCGGCGGCGGCGGCCGGAGGGGACGGCGCCCGAAGCCCATCCGGAGTCCGCGCACTCACCGTGGGCCGGGGGCTCGGGAGACGCCGCGCTCCGCACCCGCTCCAGGGACGCCAAGAACAGCGCGCTCGCCGCCGCGCGGACAACTGAACACTGCGGGGGCGAGGCCTGGCCGATAGCCCCGCCCCCGGGCCCGCCCCCCGCTCCCGGCCCGCCCCTCCGCGACCCCCTCCCCGCGACCCCCGCACAGCGCACGCCGGTCGCCGGGGGTTTCGGGCCAGGGAGCCACCGGTGTGTGCAGAGCGGGGAGCAGGTTCTGCTGTGTCAGGACCCCCTCCCCCGGGAACCCTCAGGAAGCCAAAGTCGCCGAAACCGAGGAAGACCAGCCCCGGCCGCTGCGCAGACTTTTCTGGAAGGGCCTCCCAGCCCAAGCTCTGACCTCGGCATCGACTCCGCCGCCAGTCTGCCCCCGGGGCGAGGGGTGCTGCAGGCATCATCCCAGGACGCTCCGCAACACCCCGTCACCTGTTGGGTCAGCGTCCGCACGGCGCAGGGGAGGCCCCCGACGCCCCGGCCTCACAGCCTGCTGGAACCTCCAGGCCTGCGCTCTTCGTCGCCCACCCTGGACCGCCCTCTGAAGCTTGCGCGAGCACCGCACCGTGCCCGCCTGGAGAGCTCGTAGAAACAGACTGCCGCGGCTGACTCCCAGAGTCTGGCCTGCGGCGGACCAGCTGCATTTCTGACAAGCTCCCGGGGGTGCTAGGCGGGCCGGAAGACACCCGGGGGCTGCTCAGAGGTTCTGGAGGTCTGAGGTGCACCTGGTCTCCCGATCCCCTTTGGCCGATCCTGCTGATCATCAGAGGACCTAGTACTTAGGGGATCCACCGATTTGGAGATGTTTTTAACCCCAAGGACCTCATCTCTAATGGTGGGGCCCCAGGCAGTGTGGGAAATTGAAAGACAGGCCCACGGGGCGCCTGGGTGGCTCAGTCATTAAGCATCTGCCTTTGGCTCAGGTTGTGATCCCAGGGTCCTGGGACCGAGTCCCGCATCGGACTCCCTGCTCCGCGGGAAGACTGCTTCTCCCTCTCCCACTCCCACTGCTTGTGTTCCCTCTCTCGCTGTGTCTCTCTCTGTCAAATAAATAAATAAAATCTTGAAAGAAAGGAAAGAAAGAAAGAAAGAAGAAAGAGAGAGAGAGAAAGAAAGAAAGAAAGAAAGAAAGAAAGAAAGAAAGAAAGAAAGAAAGAAGAAAGAAAAGAAAAGAAAAAAAGAAAAGAAAGGCCCAGAACACAGAGGCAAGAACGGTTTGCTGGGGGGACGCCAGAGGGAGGCTGAGCTGAGGGCCAAAGGTGGAGGCCCAGGGTACCAGAACAGCAGCTCACTGGGCCACAGCTTGGCCACTAGGCTGTGAACATCCCGCCTTGCAGGCAGGCCCATCCCACCCATTCCTCGGAGTTGGGGGAGGGAGTGCGGGGAGAGCAAGGCCATGGCTCCCCAGCCCAGGGGGGACCTGGCACCTCTCCCATCACCCCCGGACGGGGCGGACACTGCTCGGATGGGGACACCACCTGTCTCAGGTGGTGAGGGAGGGGGATGACCCCAGCTCCTCGGTGCAGACCCACACATGTCCACGCCGCCCTGGAGGAGACATGGACCCACCAGGGTGGATTCTCCTTCTGGAAGCTCTCTGCTTGCAGGCACTGCTTCCATCCAGGCCCAGCACAGCTAGGCACATGGGGACAGAGGTGCTCAGGAACACGCATCAACTGCTTGGGACAGAGATGAGTGGGGACTGCCTTTTGCACCGGACAGGAATCAGGGAGGGGCAGCTGATGTTCTCCCCTGGGGACTGGCACGTCCTGAGCCAGGATCTCAGAGCCAACGCCTGCCCACCCCTGCAGTCCCCTCACCCCTGCAGTCCTTCGTGGGGTCCTGCCAACCTGTTGGAACAAACATAGGCCTGGTTGCCATGGTGATCATAATGGTTTGGGGTGAAGAGATCCTGCAGCTGCTATAAACAGGAAGTTAGGAGGGGCCCCTGCTTGCCCCCACATCCAGTGTCCTTTGGGGAGCATGCGCTGGGGGCCAGGAGCACAGAGGCACCAGCCCCAACCCTGTGGCCGTTGGGGTGGAGGCCTGTTGGAGACCTCACCACCCTCTTTGACAGATAAGAAAACTATGGAGAGGGGAAGGGCTCTTCCAGGGCCCCACAGCAACTGGGGGGGGTGCCGAGCCCAGCCCTGGGCCTCAGTTTCCCCAGGAAAAGATACCCAGACCCTCCATGCACAGACACTTTCTGGGGAGGGAGAGATGGGCCCATTCTTGCTCAGTCCCGTCCTCCTCCCCACCTAGGTCAGGCCCTGCCCCGTCACACCCCTTTGCTGCCCTGGACCTCAGGTTCCCTTTTGTCTGTAAATGGACATAGCAGCAGCATGCACCCCTCAGCGAGCGGGGGGGCTCTCAGTGAGGAGCCAGTACTGGGTAGTGTCAGCTGCACACCCTCCAGGTCCACATGGGATGGGGACTGTGGCCATGGCTGGCCCTCGGGGGACTCAGTTTCCACCTCTGTAGGTGGGGGAGGGGGATGACCCCACAGCAAGGGGAGAGGGTGGGGGAGGGGGCAACGTGGAGCATGCACATGTCATAGCAGGAGTTGGGGCACAAAACACCTCACTAGAGGGGTCAGGCTCGGCAGGGCTGGCTGGGAGGTGGGGTTCACACCCTCTGGGCTTTGGGCAGGCAGAGGCACACGGTTTTCCCTCCTCAGGGCCAGAAGAAAACCCCCAGGCTCTGGGGAGATGCTCCGGGTGGCTGCGGGAGAGCAGGGAGGTGAAGGCGCATCTCTGTAAGGCCACACCACCCCTTATGGTTTAAAGACGCTTGGGGCACCTGGCCGGCTCCGCCAGTGGAGCGTGCAACTCTTGATCTCAGGGGTGTAGGTTTGAGCCCCACGTTGGTGTAGAGATTACTAAGAAAGAGAAAAGGAGGGAGGGAGGGAGGGAGGGAGGAAAAACAGAAAAAAAGAAAGACAGAAAAAGAAAGAAAGGAAGGAAGGAAGGAAGGAAGGAAGAAAAAGAAAGAAAAAGAAAAAGAAAGAAAGAAAAAGAGAGAGAAAGAAAGACAGAAAGAAGAAAGAAAGAAAGAAAGAAAGAAAGAAAGAAAGAAAGAAAGAAAGAAAGAAAGAAAGAAAGAAAGAAAGAAAGAAAGAAAAAGAAAAAGAAAGAAAAAAGAAAGAAAAGAAAAAAAGTTAAAGACGCTTGACCTCATGCCCTAATGCCCTCTGGTGGCAGCTTCTGGAATTGCAGGCAGAGCTCCTAGCAGGCCGGCCGCACCTGGGCACCAGAGGTGTGAAGACGGGGGCAGCCATGGAGAATGGCTGGGGCATGGCCCAGGGACTTGGGCCAGGACACTCGGGACTGCAGGAATCTGTCCCATTGCCTGTGCCATCTGGGTGGTTCTGCCAGAAGAGGGGGCCCCAGGTGGGAGGGGGTCTGGCCCCTCACCTGAAATGCTTCTGGGGCCACGACACCGGAAGCCAACACCTGCACAGGTGAAGCCTGCACCAGGCCTGGGAGCAACTGTGCGGCTGAGGTTTCTGTGGGGCTGGGGGAGGGGGTGGGAGCAGAGCAGCGGAACCACACAGGGCTCTGCAGGTCTCCGCGAGGGCCGACCACCTGGCCACCGAGTGCTGTCCACTGTCTGTCCACTGAGCCTGCCCATCAGCATCTGGCCCAGAGGCAAGTGCACAGGGCCACCTCCCAGGAGGGCCCCTCCTACACTCAGCCCTCTGTGAGGGGCCCTGGAGGGGACAAAGGCCATACCCCCCATCAGGAGGCAGAGCTGGTGGAGCTGAGTACCCAGGATCATTCTCTTTACAACAGGGGGCGGGGGGCAGGTTCTGGGGCTCCAGGAGTGGGAGGGGCAGCATGGGCACCAAGGCCCCTCTCTTCAAGAGGGTGGTGGGTAGGTCCCCTGGAAGGAAAGAGGTCAGGGAGGGAGATCCGAGGCCCTAGGCCTGTGACTTCCTGACAGGTGCTGAGCTCCTGGGGTCTGGGGACAGCAGGGTGGATGGGACTGGTGCTCCAGCCCCATCCCGCCCCATGATCCTAAACCAGCCCCCTCAGTCAGGGCCAGGGCCTCCACAGATGGGGTCCCAGCGTCTGGAGGACTCCAGATGAGCCTCGTGGGCCCCGGTGGATACACCCCAGACTCAGCACCAGGGTCTGCTGGGGATGGATCCTGGACCAGCCATTTCTCAGGCCCCTCCCTGCTGAAGCAGGCTCAGACCGGTTCGAGCTGGCCCAAGTCACTGTTCAGCCTGGCCCTCCAACCTGGCAACGTGTCGTCATGGCAACTCAAAATGGAGGCTGCCCATCCGCAGAGCTTGATACGTGCCGAGAGTTTTAGGCAGCCCAGTCAGGGAAGGAGGCGACTTTGCACGGTGGACAGACGTGAGGGTACAGCTCTGGCCTGGGCGGGACTGTCCAGGGAGGCCAGGGGGACTCTCGGGGACCCATAGCCCATCCGCCCATGGCCAGGTTCTCCGAGGAGCCCCAAGGCCAGGCCCGAGCCCCAGCCAGTCCTAGACACACTGTTGGGGTCTGAGTGAGGACTCACATGCAGCTGGGCGCTCCCTGAGGAGGCCCGCCCCAGGCATGAAGGGCAGCTCGGGGTCCCCGGAGGGACGCCCGGCTCCGGCAGGCTGGGAGATGCAAGGGGGGGGGGAATTGGCCACAGGGCCAAGGCCAGGGCAGGATGTGTGCCTGGTCTCAGAGGGGATCACAGGGGGCGTCCCACCCTGGCTCCAGGGTCACCAGCCCCTGCCCCCCACGGACCCCTGAGGGTCTGGCGCCAGAGGCCAGGGGGAAGAGGTAGCAGGGGTGGCCCCGGGGTGGGGGGGGGCCAGGGGGGGCAGGGCAGGAAAAGGACACAGCCTGCAGGCAGCAGTTTGTGGAAATGTTTTTAATCAGAGGATTCTTAGATACAGTGGTTAATGTATTGCCCACAATTCCTTACTAATTATTAGGCGCCTCATGCTGGGAACACGCGCTCTTCCCTCACATCAGAAACAGGATGGGCACATTCCATACTTCTCCTGTCACAAGAGTCACATCTTTGTTAAGCC